CTGTTCAAACTACTTTTCCCCTTGTGCTTTATTAATAGAGACTGGCAAATTTTGCCCTTAGAATTGATTGCTATGAAAGCCATTATAATATTTTGACCTGAGAAAATAACTCACAAAGTAACAATTGGAGAGAATGTGTTTAAAAAGCATTATGTTGCTATTGTAGAGAATGAGTTGAGGTGAGGCATTGAAGTGAGTTAGTTCTTGAAGCAGGGAAAGGAACGGTTGCAGGGAGTTCATGTGAGTGATTATAAGGGCTGGAATACAGGTAGCAGCATTGTGGATAAAGAGAGGGAATGAATGTGAAAGATAATGAAGAGGTAGAATGAACAAGACAAGGTGATGAATTAACTGTGGGGAGTGAGTGACAGTGAAACCACAAGGGTGCTGGACAGGTCTTGGGTTTGGACCCTGGATAGATGAAGAAGCCATTTCTTGAGAGCAGAGGTTGGATTTGATTAGTTCCATTTTGAAAATGCTGACTTTGAAGTGTCTGCCAGGAACTCCATGTGCAGAAGCCTAGTAGGCAATATGGAGCTGATGAGACAGCTAGAGATATGAATTTTGCATGTATTAACTAGCGAAAAGGTTAACCCAAAACACAGTAGCTTGAATAAGATGAGAGTTTATTTCTCTCTTGTAGAGCAGCCAGCTGGTCTGACTGCCAAGCAGCTCTTTTGCACGTGTTCATCCGGGGGGCCCAGCATGCTGAGACATTGTCACCTTTCTTAATACCTATCTTCCAGAGTTGCTCCTGGTTGTCGCCAGTCCTAGCCAGTGGGGAGAGGGAGAGGGAGCTGTAAGGAGCACATTCAATGCATTAAAGCCTACACCTATCTCCTCTGCTCACATTCCGTTGGCGGGAACTCACAGTTTTTGCTTAACTACAAGGGAAGCTGGGAAATGTGGTCCCTGGCTAGAAGGCTGTGTTCCCATGGACAACATTTTTACGATGGAAAAAGTGGAGAATGGATTTAGGGGTGTGAGGACTAACAGTTTACACAGGTGTCATCATTATATATGTGTCAGATGAAGGCATGGTGGAGACAAGATCACACAAAGAGGTGATGTCATGTATGCAGGCAAAGATGGAACTCTGGAGAATGACAACACTTAGGGGCAGAGAAGGAGACACTACATTTTAGGAAGAGGAGAAATGGAAAGGTATGTCTTAGAAGTCAGGGTAGGAGAGGTTTTTAGAAATGAGTTTTCCTTTTGGTGAGGTAGCATGTTTCAGAAGTTAAGATGGCTTTGAAGCCAGACTCTCTGGGTGTAAGACTTGGATCTGTTCCTTACTAGCTGTTAGTTCTTGGGCAAGTGTTGAACCTTTCCGTGCTTCAATATTTTCATCTGTGAAATGGGGATAATAACCTATGTCATAGGGTTATTTGGAAAGCTAAATAAATTATCATATGGAAAGCTCTTAGAATAGTTTGCAGTATATATTACCAGCAGTAGCTGAGAGCTAAAGCAAATTGATTGAAAACGACACATTGGATTTTTCATATGAGATACATATTTGTAGAGCTCTGTAAGCTCTATGAGACCATATACTGTGGACTACAAGAAGAATGAACAAGTCTGTCTTGGAAGAAATACAGCCAGAGTGCTCCTTGTAAGTGAG